ATTTAGAGAACGCAAACATCATGTTCGTAACATACGTATTCTAGTGTACCGTATTTTATGTCGTTATTAGAAAAAAAAAAAAAAATTACTTCTGATCTCGTGTATAGATCGTTTCTTATATTCGCATCATTATTTTCTCTTGAAGATTCTACCGAGTTACATAATCTCTTCCGGGTGATCTATTAACCTGCGTGTACAAAGCAGATTTTGACGTCAACTGCACATCGATGCATTTCATTATATAACCTGAAAGTTACCTATATAGTGAACGCTTACTTTGTTGTCTCATATGACTTCTACGTCACACCGGATTTTCTGTTATAGTGATTTTTTCATGTTTATAAATAAAAAGGTTTCTGTATTTTAGTGTCTCGTGCAAGGCCACACAGTAATCTTACAGTAGTGTATAATTACAATGTATTATAATGTTATGTACTTTTACGGTTAATTATACATTACTGTATATTCCTTTGGTGATCAAAATATCGGAGATTTATTTTTTTCCACTGAGAACACTGCATACTACAAACGAACTTACGAACTACGAAACACAATCAGAATTATAGATGATAATGATGATCCTTAATGATGATATTAATAGCAATAATGATGATCCTTTAATGAGGATATTAATCGCAATAATGATGATCCTTAATGATGATGTTAATAGCAATAATGATGATATTAATAACAATATTGATGATACTTAATGATGATATTAATAACAATAATGATGATCCTTAATAATGACGTTGATAACAATAATGATGACGCTAATGGTGAGCGTATAGAAAGTAATATTGATAATAATAATAATAATAATGCAACACATTTAATTTTCTATCTAGCTTCACTTAGTAAGATTATAAAGAAAAAATCATGTGTATTTCGAATATCAAAACGATCATACGTTAATCCCCTTAATGTGGGATGATCGGGACTTTGCAACTACAGCTGTAATGGGAAAGAAAATAAAAACATTATGCTTGGAAAGGTTGTCAGGAATGTGAGGAAAATAACAATAACTATAATAGTGTCAATAATAATAGTAATAGCAATACTTCTACTACTACTACTACTACAAATAATAATAATGATAATAATAATAATGATAATAATAATTTCATCTTTTATTCTCTCTCTCTTTCTTTGCCTCCTTCTTTCTCTTTATCTTTCTCTTTCTCTTTTTCTTTCTCGAGCTCTTCGATCTCTCTCTTTCTCTCTCTATCTTTCTCGCTTTCTCTCTCTCGCTTTCTCTCTCTCTCTCTCTCTCTCTCTCTCTCTCTCTCTCTCTCTCTCTCTCTCTCTCTCTCTCTCTCTCTCTCTCTCTCTCTCTCTCTCTCTGTCTAAGTGCCCATTTAATAAGGTCATTAAGATTGCCAATTTACATGTGTTTTTGCATTAATCTGGATAATTTGTTTGACAATTTTATTAAATGCGTAATAACAATACCGGTAAGTAAAATGTTAACAATGTGTAAAGAACAATACATTATTTTAAATTTTTCACTCGTTTCTAAATACAAAGAGTGACATTTAAATTAATAAAGGTCTCACAGCATTGATTTTTTTTTTATCACATTTGAAATTTGTTTTACTGTTCCCTCTTGCAACCACAGCGACACCCCCCCCCCCAAAAAAAAAAAAATGTTTTTAAAAATTCTAGCAACCACTCAAAGAATTTCTAAATTGCATTTGCACATTCAACAGATTATTCCTCTCGAGCCATGTTGCACAAACTCAATTCGTAAATGACTTCTATCGTTAGCAGAATTATGCAAGTGAAGAGTTTTGCATATTTCTTCCTCTCTCTCTTTATACACTAATTTTCATGATTCTCGATCTTCCTCTTCGTCCATAATCTTATTTACATTTTTTCTTCGTTATTTCTTTCTAACCACAATCTTTCTTACAGTTTTTCTTTTCTCTATCCGCAAATTTTCCTTATTACTATTTTTTTCATCAACATTTATGTCTATACACATTTATTCATTTTCTCTATATGCACCATTTCCCAAAATATATCATTATCCTGAGTCTTCCCTATACATTTTCGTCCAGTTCTTCTCTTTCCAATATATCTATCCTCCCTAACAACCTCCTCGTGTTTTCTATCTATCGAAACTCTCCTAAATACATCTATTTCTCTCTCATTTTCCAATTATCCATTTCATTACATTCTCTAATTTTCTCTTTCCTTTTTCTACGCATTTCTCGATCTATCTCTCTCTCCATTCCCTCTTCCTCTTCCTCCTTCACAGAGTTCTCATTATTTCTACCTCTTCTTAATCTTTATTTCTACTCTTTCCTCTCATCTCTCTACTCCTCTCCCTACCCCCCCCCCCCCCCATCGTTCCCTACGTCTCCTCCTCCTCCTTGTCAATCTTAAAATAGTTCCTACTTCCTTTGTCTCGCCTCTTTTATTACTTCTTGAGGCGAAAGTTGCCAGATATAACCAGAGGGATAGTATTTTTTCAATGAAATTTTATGCAATAATGATAGTGATAGTAATGATGATGATGATGATAATAATAATAATAATAATAAAAATAATAATAATAACAATAATAATGATAATGATTATAGTAGTAATAATGATGATGATGATGATAATAAGAAAAGTAATAATAATAATAATAATGATAATGATAATAATAATGATAATGATAATAGTAATAATGATGATGATGATGATGATGATAATAAGAAAAGTAATAATAATAATAATAATAATAATAATAATAATAATAATAATAATAATAATTATAACAATAGTGATGATAATAGTGATAATAATAATAATAATATTTACGATCATGTTAATAATATAGTGATATTAATAATATTGATGATAGTAATAATAATGATAAAAAAATAATAAAATAATAATAATAATGATAATAATAATAATAATGATAATGATAATAGTAATAATGATGATGATGATGATGATAATAAGAAAAGTAATAATAATAATAATAATAATAATAATAATAATAATAATAATAATAATAATAATAATAATAACAATAGTGATGATAATAGTGATAATAATAATAATAATATTTACGATCATATTAATAATATAGTGATATTAATAATATTGATGATAGTAATAATAATGATAAAAAAAATAATAATAATAATAACAAAACAATAATAATGAAATAATAATGATAATGATAACAATAATGATAATAATAATAATAATAATAATGATAATAATAACAATAATAATAATAACAAAATAATAACAATACTAATGAAATAATATTAATAATGAAAATTATAATAATAACTACACTACTACTACTGATAATAAGGATAATAATAATAATAATAATAATGATAATAATTATAATTATACTACTACTACTAATGATAATAATAAAAATAACAATGATAATAATAATAATAATAATATCAATGCTAATACTAATAACAACAAAAATAAATCTATATTAACCCCCTCCCCCCCCAAATGTTGACTTCATTTCACGGGTATTATACGACATTAGCATATAATCAAATATTCATCGGTATTCAGTCTTTAATTCGATAACATTACAAATTACGTAATTATGAATTGATAAGTTTTTGGATTTATATTAATTTGGAAAAAAATATAATGGATATAGACAGACAGATAGATAGATAGATAGATAGATAGATAGACAGATAGACAGATAGATAGATAGATAGATAGATAGATAGATAGATAGATAGATAGGTAGATAGATAGATAGATAGGTAGATTGATCGATAGATAGATAGAGAGAGAGAGAAATAGATGGATAGATAGTTAGATACATACATACATACATACATACATACATACATACATATATAGACAGAGAGACAGGTAGACAGATAGATAGATAGATAGATAGATAGATCTAGAGGTGGATAAACAGAGAGACAGAGATAATTTAAGACAGTAAATGGACAGATAGAAAAGGCAACAGATGGAATAAGCGATAGATAACCAGATAAATAGACAGTTGTTTAGATAAGTTAGTAGATAGATAAGCAGATAAAACGAAAGGACAAACGGCTAAATAGATACAAATAATAAGAACATATATATCTGCAAATTTATTCATAACGCAGTGGATATTACCATTACGAAAATCGATTGATAGACAGGTAGATAGACAGATAAATAAGTAAGTATGGAGACGATAACAAGCGAGAGACAAAATAAAGCAATAATCCTCACACGTAAATGGAGGAAAAAAGACATAGATGGATAAATAAGGAGATAGACAGACTGAAAAATGATATAATATATATCCGGATGAGTTTAATTGACTGCCGGAGGTAAAGTTATTATCAAAACCGTTATCAAAAATATTATAAAAAGGCCCTTTTGTTTCTTCAGGGCATAATGGACGTTACGTTACGTACTATAGCTCTTTACTTATACCCCTTCATCTCTCTTTCACCTCCTCTCATTTCCCTTCATTTCTCCTCATTTCCCCTTATATGATTATCATTCACCCTCCTGTTCACTTCTTCCCTCCCTCTCCCTTCATCTACCTTCACCTAATGGTCATTCCTCCATCTCTTTACTTATTTTTCTTCATCTCTCTTTCACATCATTTCATTTCCCATCATTTCTCCACACCTCGCCTCATCTCACCTCATCTCTCCTTCACCTTACCTCATCTGCCCTTCATCTTTCCTCATTTCCCCTCATTTCCCTTCCCCCTCTCCATCTCCCCTTACCTAATATTTACCTTTCTCTTTTCTTAATCTGCTTTATCACCCTTTCGTCTCTTACCTAATAGCCATTTACCTTTCCTCCTCTTCTTATTCCTCCTTTATTCGCCTTTTACCTAACAGATATTTACCTTTCTCTTCTCTTCTTATTCCCCCTTTATTCGCCTCTTACCTAACAGCCCTTTTCTCTTCTCTTCTTATTCCTCCCTTATTCGCATCTTACCTAATAGCCCTTTACCTTCCTCTTTTCTTCTTATCCCCCTTTTATTCGCCTCTTACCTAAGTCCTCGGGGAACTCGTAGAACAGAGGGCGCAGGACAGGGGTGCCCGACAGAGCTGCCTCGTGGAACAGAGTGTAGAGGTAAGGGAGAATCATGTACCTTTGGCGAATGAAGTACCTGTGGGTTGGAAGAAGACAAGGGGTTTAGAC